TAGGATATGATTGTCCTTTACTTCTATAAAATATGAGACTTGGTTGTTGATAGAGATTAAATGTTGAATGAATATGGCTAGGGAGTAATTCATTGTTTAGCATAATATGTTGTTTGTTGCCTATGCTATTTTTGAAAGAGATAGAATACAAATGCTTGTCATGGATGCTTGTATTTGTGAGTAAATTGGATGTATAATGTATGTTTAGCTTATTGGTTATTGTTTGTCTGGTATTTGAAGTGAATTACTTAGCCTGAGTGTTCATATTATTATTTGCTAGTTTTGCAAATGATATATGGAGGAAAGAAACTGCAAATACCTACTGTTTTTCCCAAATGTTGGCTACTATAAATCTATGATCCTCTGTTGTAGTGATAGCTGGATTGTAGGACTTGGTATTATGAGAAGCAGGTCTTTTAGTGGACAAGAGAATATGGGGTTTTCTGTGTTAGTCACCTTGTTGTCCTGGTTGTCAAACTCTCAAGTTAACTCAATAAAACAAGTATATAATTGTTGGTATCAAAATTAAGTTGTTTGTGTTTTGGACATTAGTACACTTACATCAACTCGTTTTGACTTGCATAGATTTGCAAGTTTGAGGATGATTAAATGAGGCTACAATGTAATGATTAGTTTTTCCAAAAAAGACAATGATTCTGTGTTTTTAATGATACATAAGCTGAATGATCAAGCTTCTTAGTGCACTAGACACTAACTTCACAGTTGTAGCTCATGAAAGTTGAACTCATAGATACATCTAACACCACAATGTGAACCCTCAATCCCATAGCTCCTAGGATTAACAAAGTCAGGAACCATAAAACTTAAACAGGAACAACGCTATTGTTGTAACTTAGTCAGGAACCAGAAAACTTTAACAAGAACAACTCTATTGTTGTAACTTGCAAGCTTGCAATGAACACAATAGGTCAATGAGGTAAATTAACCCAAATCTAATGAGCTTCCGGAAACATAGCTGAATCCGGCTCCAACAAGGGGAGCCCAATCCCACCATCCTTCACTCGTTATTAATTTTGAACCTTCTCATGATTTGTCAATATGTCTATTGCTTGTGAACTTGTTATGTAATGTAACTTATGTTTTCTTGTGTGCTAAGATGTGAACATACCTTGAGATTTGTGAATTTTAAACTATGATGCTATGCTTGTGTATTATGGTCTGGTCGCAACTAAAGTGCCATTAAGTTGAATCCTTTTTTGTGTTATTGGTGTTACTCATTCATATGTAATTAATGCTGACTTTATAATTGTACTCAACTTCATTACTTTGTGAATTTGTGTACTGTTTATTGATGATATAATTGGTTTCTGGTCGCAGGTAAACACGGCAACAAGTTGAAGTTGGATGACCGAACACGACTTTTCTTATACCAGTTGGTTGGTACATGGGGACAAATTCTCTTTCCAAAGCCATGGAAAGAGTTCAGGTTGTGGTATGACAAAAACAAGGCAAAGGGAAATAAACCATTTCTTGAGGGGATGGTAATAAAAAAATTGTTTCTTGTTCTTCACTCTTGTTTGCTTCTCAGGCATACATCAGCTGTTCAGTTCATTCCCAATTTTAATTCTGAAAAATTGTACAGGTGACTACAGGTTGGTATAAGAAGATGGGGGAGAGAATATGGACACCTTGGTTCATCAAATTTATTCAATCCCACAGTTACTTTAATATCTATGCAAATTTTTTGCATGAAAGAGCATTAAGTGTCTCTCACAGAGATGCTGGAGTTAACTACGGGAAAACTGCTGGGCCTGATTCTCAGTTACTGAAGGAAAGATCTCTAGACTTCAATATTTTGGAAATGCAGCCTTTGAGTAGCTTAAAATGGTTTGACTTTTGTTTCAGAGAAGTACGTCCAGGAAGGTTTATGAGTAACTTTGAAGAACTTGAAGCGTTGCTTCACTCTCTGCCGAAACAAGATAGTATATTCTTAGTAAATCTTTTAGGGGTATCTGATGCTGTAGTAAGAAACTTACTATGCCACTTTGAGAGGCTAAATATAAGGAATTATATACTTATGGGCCCTCCATCTGATTCCTTATTTGATCTGGCAAGAAGGGGACATCCTGTAATCAATGTAGACCAATTTGTACGTAGTACTGGAATAAATAAATTAACTTCACAAGGCTCAAGTTTTGAGACCATCAAGGGAATTGTGGCAAAGGCTCATGTAGTTAAAAAGTTGATCGAAAACAAGTATAACACATGGATTTTGGATCGGAGCATGCTTCTCACTTCCGACATATTGCTCGAGTCTAGAGATCCCAAAGATGACTTCTGTATTGCAAACAACTTGGAACTCTTTTATGCTAAAAGCTCATCATCCAGTGAGAAAATCTGGACTAACAACTTTGTAGCGAAAGTTGTCGCCATGGCAGACTCTTTGGGGAAAAAAGACTCATCAACCCAAGGTAGCCTTCGTTTTGTGTATATTGTATCAAAATTATTGGAACATAATGGTGCAAGTATTAGAAGAGTTGATGAGACTTCTTTTGGCATGAAGATTGAGTCAGGTGGTGTTAGTAAATCATCTCTAGGGGATAAAAAGTTGGTATATTGGTCAACTGAGATGGAGCCAGATTCGATTCAGAAGCGGCTTGAAGAGTTGAATTTGTGGAGTATAGACAGTGATTTATCCTGCACTGCTGTGGTTTGTCACAAGTCATAGCTTTTTAGCTTACATATTCTTTATGAATTATTATTTGTAACACATTAAGTTTTCAATGTAAGGCTTAAGATGGACTGGGATTAAAGAGTGAGTTGATTTGGATTTCTTTCACCATAATTAAAAAACAAATTTAAAGATTATTATATGTGGATTCCTTCACCATCATCAAGCACAACTTCACCACCATCAACCTCTTTACCATCTTGTTCACTATCATCCATCTTTTACTTTCCAACCATTTACCGTCTTATTCACCATCCTCAACCTTTCACCCTGTTCACCTTTACCATCATCATACCTTGATGATCGATTTTTTTCCTATATCAGAGATCTAAGATCAGAAAAAGATTTCTGGATTTCTTGATCTAGTTTTGCCTTTTAGATTTCGGACCTAAATCAATAGATTAAGTTATCAAGATGTTGGCTAGAGAACCGTCACGACAATCATGGATCCAAAAGTTGATATTGACACCTTTACCAACTAACCAACAAGAGTGCTCCAGATTGAAGAAAAAAGTACGATATCCAATGAAGTGATTGTCTCATTACTCGGCTCTTCAGTAATTTTGTCCAATGGTTGTTGGAATGAAGAATGTCATAACCCATATTGAGGTTAGACGCCTCATTGAGATTGGTTAAAGACCTTATCCCATGGCTTCCTTTTGCCACAAGAGTACATATAGTTTTCCAAGCCACTGTGACCAATTTTATCTGATTGAGATCCCTGTTCCATAGAAAATTCCTCAAGAATATATTTAGCTCTTTGATAGGCCAAGAGTAAATAGTGAAGATTCAAAAAGTAGTAAAGTAAGAATCTCTTCCCACAAGAGTAAATAGTGAAGATAGGGGATAACTTCCTCAATTAAGCCACTGTCTTAGGCCTCATTATTGCTAGTGAAGATTGAAGTAAAATAAGAAGCGATATGGTCTGCAATATGTCTTTCGTCTTTGATAATACAATCATTGGCCAAGAGAGAGGTTGTTTTCTCGTAAGCATGCTTGATCTCGGAAGTTATGTGAAATAAAGTTGTATTTCTATCTCCCCTATAGTGCCACTTAATCCTATATTTTTCTTGCCAAAAGGTTTCTTCAATATTCAGTGCCTTTTCTAACACACTTTAACTTGGTTTTCTTGTTGCAGAAGGGAATCAGAGAAACCGGTATCATTGATGGATTGTTGAGTTGTGTCCATATTCTCATTACAGTGTTGACTAATTGTTGTACATTACCAAGTCTTGCTTTGCTCCAAATATTTAGGCCTCCTTTAAGAAGCTTCAACATATGATCCAAAATTTGCATAGGGGAACCAAACACATCAGGCCAATTTTTTATTTATTAAAGTTGAACAATCACCATGAAGAGTCCACATTCTAAGAAATTTTAAAATGGAAGCAAACTTGATACTATGGAACTGAAAATCAAATAGGAAAGGAAAGTAATCATATTTATGTCTAGTAAGGATGTGTTGTTTTCCGGTTTGTAAAAATTGTCATTAAAGAAATAGTCGGGTCGAATCGCAGAGTAAGTCGCTTTCTTTAGAACGTTTTGTGGCACTGTCTAAAAATATGCAAAAAAGTATTTAACTACTACAACGCTTCCAGGATAAAAACATCTTAATTCTATATTGTACAATTACTACTTGTACGATAGTTAATCGGTCTAGAAATATTTTCTTTGATGGTACAATGATTATTCGAATATAATATAAATATCACTCGTAGTATCTGCTATAACAATCAGCTGAAACATTAGTTTGCTATCTTTACTATGTATTTTTTGTAATAAATTTAGTGTTTTTGGATTGAATCAAAGAATATAACTACATTCTAGTTTAATAACATTAAATTTAAATTTGTGTTGATATGAAAAGTTTCATTCTATCATACCAAAATGTTATAAAAATCTAGTCGATAAATAAAAGATTACAGAGGCACTTAAATCATATTTTGATTAATTATTCTGATCCAACTCCCTAACTAACTTTAAAATTTTTATTAAACATTTAACTGACTAATTATTTTAACTTTTATAATAATGCCATGTCATTTATCACACCTTAATATTTTGTCTGAACACATAAAAATGATTAGTTTGATTAAAAGGAACACAAATCTGTTATATAAAATTTAATTATTTTATTAATAATTAAAAATAAAAGTCAAGTTTCTTCTAACGTTCGTTTAAAATTCTTTTTGTATTTTAATTAAATCATTAATGTAATTTTCTTTTTACGAAAACAAAAATACAAATCTTTCAATCCCAAACAGAAATTAGGGATTTGATAGTACTGAAAAAGACGAAACAACAACGCATGGAAGGCGAAGTTCCATCAATGGAGAATCCCAAAATCTCAGCGTATTATCAGACTAGGCTAGAACACTTCGGCGTCGTCAGCACCGAGTGGTTAGCTCAGGCTCAGTCCGCAACAAAACCTATCACATCATCATCAACCGACGCACGCTCTGATAAAGATGCCAATTTCTCTGTAATTGATGAATTCAATCGGTGGCGTAATCATCCCGATTTGGCCGAAGCTGTCGCCGCAATTCGTGCCCTCGCTGCTGTTATCAGCTCTAGTAAAGCTTCCACTATGATGCAACTTGAAATCGAACTCAAAAACGCCTCTGATACCCTCAAAGTATGCATCTTTACTACCTTTATTCCTTTGTTGCTGAAACCATTTTTATCACCCAATAAGTTTGTGTTAACTTTGAGTGTGTTTGGTTTGGTTTGTATCAGCTACTGAATAGTTTTTGAGAGAGCTTATAGAAATAGCCTATGATTTATGAAGTATTGACACAAAAAGACACAATTTTGATGCTGACATGTTGACACCGAAAATGATTTAAGAAAATTTAAGTGTAGATGCTACGTTGCTTATGATATATTCATAATCTATTTTCGGCTTATTTCAACAAGCTTTTCAGGATAGTTTATAAAAATATTAGTCTAAACATATTTTGTATTTGTTTTGGTTATAGAAATAGCTTCATACAAGCACTTACTTAACCCTTTGGTTAGTTACCCTAAGTGAGATATGAAAAATAAATAATAATAATAATGATGTTGAAAAATAGGAAGTGGTAGTTTTTATTTATTTATGTATTTGAGTTAGAAAAACTATAAGAGAAGTTATTAAGAAATATCTCGAGATTAACGATTTGAATAGAAACATGGTCCTGGATAAAACATTATGGCGAAAGTTAATCCATGTATCTGATCCCACTTAGTGGGATAAGGCTTGGTTTTTGTTGTTGTATTTGAGATATTGAGTTTTGAGATGAATTTGCTAAGATGTATGCGGGTTTAAGTTAGCATTTACATTGATAGGCATGGGATACAACCTCTATCTCATTGACAGCGGCGTCTGATCTGTTTATGAGATACGTGACAAGGACATCGGCTTTGGAATTTGAAGACTTCAATTCTGCAAAAGCTCGCTTGATTGAGCGTGCGGACAAGTTTGGGGAAATCTCCTACAAGGTTTGTCTGTGTGTGGTTGGTTCTGGTGCTAGCTAAATCTTTCTTACTCCTGTTGGTGTGATTGGTTATTCGTCTGTTTTGTTTTTGTAGGCTCGCAAGGTTATTGGAATGCTTAGTCAAGATTTTATATTTGATGGTTGCACTATTTTGGTTCATGGTTTTTCCAGAGTTGTCTTTGAAGTTCTTAAACTGGCTGCGCATAATAAGAAACGCTTTCGGGTCTTCTGCACAGGTTTTTTTCTCTATCCAAACTCTTGAGTATGTGTTTGCATATTGCGATATGTCCCAAAATGTCCGGTTCACATTTATAACTTGTTTTGATAATGGCTTACAAATCGTAGTTTGGTCCAGTGGAAAACCAAAATTTACTTCTACTAAAACCATGGTTTGAGACTCAATATCATGTTCAAATATTAGCTAACTTGATTGTTTTTATACAAGCCTGTGGATGAAATTAAGTAATGTGGAAACTGGTCTTAAGGAGATACTCTAAGATAAGAAACTCACCATACAAGATACACTTAGATACTCTAACACACTATCAAGATATTATAAGATAGTTTCTTATATTCTATTATTTTCTTTATTACCAATTTGAGATTCAAACTTTTTAATTGTTTGACCTAACTTTGCAGAGGGGCGACCAGATCGAACAGGTTTAAGGCTGTCCAATGAGTTGGCCAAGCTTGATGTTCCCGTGAAACTTGTGATAGACTCTGCAGTGGCTTATACCATGGATGATGTGGACATGGTATTTGTCGGGGCAGATGGAGTTGTTGAAAGTGGTGGTATAATTAATATGATGGGAACATACCAAATTGCTTTGGTTGCAAAGAGTATGAATAAGCCAGTCTATGTGGCTGCTGAAAGCTACAAGGTGCATTTGACTATTTAGTTGACTACTTAATAATCAATCTAATACTTTAGTTGTTGCTTCCTCTGTTCATAAAGATAAAACCTTGTTAACTAAATCACGAGAGTACTTTAGAATGCCTGCATTATCATGCGAATTGTTATATTTGTTTGGAATGGATCTTGTATAATTACATGTTATGTATGTGTTACTCTGTAGTTTGCTCGTCACTACCCTCTTGACCAAAAGGATTTGGCGCCCGCCCTACGACCAGTTGATTTTGGTGTACCTATTCCATCCAAGGTTGAGGTCGAATGCTCTGCTCGGGATTATACTCCTCCTCAGTATTTGACTCTGCTTTTCACAGATTTAGGCGTTCTTACTCCATCAGTTGTTAGTGATGAACTCATCCAGCTATACTTATAATCATCCTCATACGGTTCTCAGAACCATCAGTTGTTAGTGATGAACTCATCCAGCTATACTTATAATCATCCTCATACGGTTCTCTTCTGATTCTTATAATGTTGGCCTCAGTTAAAGATAGTTTCTCTTATGAAACAGTTTTGTAATACAAGTATGTGCATTGACAACTTCAGTATCACTGGGGAGAGTTTCTATTGTACTGTATTTGTTAGGTCTAGTTTCTAAGAAATGCAAGGGCTGCAAGTTCAACGTAATATTTGCTAATCCAATTTTGGTCATTTGCTTTTCCATGTAATCATGAGAGAATTCTGTTCACTGACACTGTTAGACACTAAATGTGAATTCTTCTTACAGCCGTGGTTCAAATTGTTGTTTCAGTACAGACTACAACTGATGTTGTTCATTTTTTAGTATATATGCATATCATTTCATATCTTGTAGATTTTCAAAACTGATTCTTATGAAAGTTGATGTTTGGGAATCTTATTTACTCATAAGGAAAGTAAAGAGCAACATCTTACATATAAAAACACCTTTTTGATAAAATTTATTTAACTGATACAGTAGGGTTTAGGGTAGAGGTAAATTGTTTCTCTAGTTTTGTGATTTTTTGGGAAGAAACATATTTCTGAGGTCTGCAGCATCAACCTCTCCAAAGTGATTCTCTGGAATCCAGTTTCCAGTCTTAGGATCTTTCATCCAGAAGATTGTTCCATCTTTATTGCCCACTGAAGTTGATTCATTCCCCACATTTACCTTCACCACTTCCACATTGGTCTTTGCCATTTGCACCCTTATACTTTTTGCTACAGCTGCATAGGATTGCTTTCTGCACCATTGTTCCAAAATTTAATAAACAAATTAAGGAAAATAATTTGAAAGAAAATAATCACATGAAGGGCATGCAAGTAGGCATGGCAACGAGACAGAGTGACATTTTCCTCGTATTCAAACTTGAATTCTATTTAATTATTTATTCGATGTTTCAAGTTCAAACTCAAATGCAGATAAATAATTTAACTCAAAACGGTCCTGTTCCATCAAATAGGTTTGAGTATTTCCACCTTGTCTTATCCCTACATTTGAACTAATTTTTTAATTTAAATTAGTTGATTTTTTTTAAATTAATAATTTGTCTCGAACTCTATCATTCAAAATAACAAATAAATCAATTATGAAATTTTTTTAATATACATTACAAATATTTTAAATGATAAAATACAAACAAAAATATCAATTTATTAACAAAACAACTAATAATTATAAATGATCAAAATAAAATATTTTAGATTATCAACGGAGTAGATTCGAGGTAAATACTAGTATCTCATTACCTGTCTAATGTCTATCTTTTAAAATTGAAAAAATCTAAATTCAAACTCATATTCACTTAAAGTGATTTTAAGTTAAACTCGAGTTAAACTTGAGGTGGATTCACGCAAAGTACTCTTGAATACATATTTTGTTGCCATCTCTACATGTAAGACAAAACAAGAAGTAAGGAAAAACTATTTGTTTCTGACCTGAGATAGAGAAGATGATTGGAAGCAATATTAAACATTATGAAGAAACAAATGTTAAAAGTAGAAAACAAGTGAGTATGGAAAAGAGTTTGTAAGAATGAGTTTATATAAACACTTTGTGAATGAAAGTTTGGTCATGTTCAGATTATGGCATATCTAAAGTATTATTGAGCATTTAATTTTGTCCAAGGCCACAAGATTGTTTATATGAGGATTCTTATTAGGGGAATGAGATACTTCATTTAAATAAAATAAATAAATAAATAAATAACTTCATGTATCTTTTAGTTTTATTTAGTATTGTACAACTCATTATATCAACATATTAGGAAATATTAATAAAAATATTTTTAGATATCTTGTAGAGTTAGGAGATGAGAGATTCTAAGCCAACTTGAATAGATACTGATTCTAATTTGTAGTTATCACCACAACAATTCCTTGTAAGGAAAGTTATCACAAGAATCCCAAACTGTTTTGGTTATTAAATTAAAGTTGAATCATATCCGAAAACAGTAAGTTAAAAGCACAAATTCTATTTATTAGAATAAGTAAATAAATAAAACTTCATAATAAATAAATAAATAAAATTACTAAAATTTTTATAATTTTGATTTAATTAATACTATTAGTTTGATTAATATTACTTGTTTTAAGTCACATAATATAAATTTTAGTCATTAATTTGATTACCAATTAATGTAATAAAAAATCAATCAATCTCGTAAATATATTTAATATTTATTTTTGCAATAAAAATTATTTAATATTTATTTTTGGATTATTTAATATTGTAAAAATTACAAATCACTAATTTTGTTATTAATTTTGAAATGATTTAACTTCAAATCTTAATTAAACATCTAGATTCGTTAAGTCAACCCTAATTAAATGTATTGTTGGTCTTATATTTTTGTCAATATTAAAGTTTTAGCCCACCGTTCAAAAAGGAGAAATTATTAGTATGTCAAGAGTGAGTTAGAAATTTTATAAAGAATAGAAAAATTCTATCTCTATGTTTATCCCCATATCTCTATATTTTATAAAATATTTCAATTTTGTATTTGTTTGGTTTTAACTAATTTATCATTTTATTTTTTTATTATTCATCTAAATGCTAGATAACTGCCATAAATGTTATTTGATGCATATTTTGTTTACTGAATAATTTGAAGTTATGTTATTTGATTTGTATTTTGTTTTTACTGAAAAATTAATTGAGTAGTTATTCAATTTGTTAAATTTTTTAACTTTCGTACAATGTTAACCGGTGAATTCTATTTATGTACCAAAATACTTATTATAAGTTATTAGGTCAATTGAATTTTACTCACCGAAATACTTATTGTAAGTTGTTAGGTGAATCAAATTTTATTCAACGAAAAACTTAAAGGTGAGTTATCTGGTTATCATTTTTGTAATTTTTTAAATATTTTTTTATTTATTTTGCAGCTATGAAATTTCTTTTACAGATTTGCGATAAAAGTCAAATAGGTGTAGATATCTTTGATGCATTCTCAACTGCACAAAGATTTTCAATACACGAGAAGAGGTGATAAAGTGGATTAAAGAGGTTCGGAATTAGAAATAAAGTAACTATTATAATCACCCTTTCAGATACCGGAACAGACAAGAGATGGAGAAGAAAGAAAATAATATTTAAGTGTGATAAATGTACGAAATACAAAGATACAGATAGTGAAACACAAAGTGCTATAAATAAATGTGGTTGTCCATTTAAAATCAGGTTAACACAATCAAAAGATGGACCTAGTTCGAAGGTTGATGTGAAATTTGGATTTCATAATCATGATTTACCTGATAGATTAGTAGATCATTCGTTTGTTGATAGGCTAAGCGGATATGAGCAACAACATATTGTTGAATTGACAAAGCGACATGTTCCACCCATACACATATTGATTTCCTTAAAATAACGAGATTCAGATAATGTCGCTCAGATCACACAAATATATAAACATAAGAGCAAGTTACAAAAAGAGATAAGATGTCCTAGAAGTGAGATACAACATTTGTTTAATCTAATAGAGAACGTGGGTTATGTTTAGTTGAGTAGAAGAAAAGATGACTCAGAATATGTGAGAGATATTTTTTGACCCCACCCTGATTCAATTAAGTTGTTGAATATTTTTCTTAATGTGTTAGTTATGAACAACACTTACAAGACAAACAAATATAGACAATCTTTATTTGATATAGTTGAAATGATACCAACCGAGTTAACATTTGGTGTTGCATTTGCCTCTATGGAATATGAGTAGACAAAGTACTTTTGCTGGGTGTTGGATAAGTTGAAACAATTGTTTATCAAGAAATATTTGTGTCAATAAGTGATTTTGGGTGATAGAGATCTTGGTTTGATGAAAGCAATTGAAGTTGTGTTTCCAAGGATGATTAATTTGCTTTTTCGATTTTACATCAACAAAAATGTTGGTTCAAAGCACCTAAACCCATAAATTTAACGAACATAAATAAATTAAGCAACAAAAATGTTTCTAAGAAATATTTATGATTAGTTTTGTAAACTAAAATTATTGGGTTCAGGTGCTTTTTGTAATCGTTTCTATTTCCATAAGTAACATTGGATTGAAAGAAGTTTTGTTCTTCAATAGAAACATCTTGAATGATATATATATATATATATATATATATATGTGTCACCCCACTTCATACACCCCCTATAGAGACATATAGATCAAATGGAATCAACACTTTATGATCCTCGAATGGGTGCCATATGACATCAACAGGTGTCAGCTCGTCCAATATGGGTCTCAAATCATCCTCCTTTATTGCTCCTTACTTATACAACCATTTTATGGCTTGAGGAAGTCCACCACCATCGGCTGCTTTCCAATTCTCTCTTTTTCTTTCAATAGGTTGAAAATACTCATGAATCTAGCCTGTTACAAAATTAATACTCTTAATAAAAAAAATTAATAAATAAAAATAAATAAGCTAAATACATGTAGTAGAGTCGCATATCCTTCTAACTATTTGCAAGTAAACATGGAAGCATCTTCGAGATATCTATATAGAGTGACCAACATAACTGCTCCCCAACTATATATCCCACATCCATCCAAGTTGATAAATAGTGATAGATATTGTGCCTCGATAAAACGTAAAAGTCTTGTCGGCAAAAATTATGCAACCTATCAGCATCATCATATAGCACAGTCCCATATAGGAGTAGATCAATGATGCGTGAATAACTCGTACATCCATTTCATCTTATAATAAGCACCCCTACAAGAACGAACATATGATGTTACCTCACTGAATCGAACTCCCAAATAATCAACAGGAAGACCAACAACATCTTTTTCAGAGACACCTAAAGGGGCCCAGAACTCGCCCTTAATCAGAAGGTGAAGCAGACAAGAAACGCCATCCAGTGTAATGATCATCTCACCTAATGGCATGCGAAATGATGATATCTCTGGATGTCCTCTCTTTACAAATACTTATACTAAAATTTTCTTTATCCTCAACAAATTGGTTCTCTAGAGAGAAGATAAACTAGAGTCATTCACCTACCTCTACATCTAAGGTAGGAGACAATAAGGAACCCATCATATAAGTTTGCTCCTATGTCTAGCAACCTTGAGTTGTTTCTTCATACCCCTCTCTTGAAAAAATTTAAAGTATATATATAACATATAAAATTTAAATTACAATTTATTCAAAATTATTTCCATTTACTTATCTTGATGAACCATATATGGCGAGCAATATGATGCTCGTATTTTACCAAAAGAGACGTATTGTATGACCCTCCTGGAAACCCTAATAGATGTGGAGCAAATGCATATTCACCTATATGTTCATCCTTGCCAACCATCGGCTCTCGAGCGCCCCGTCCTACACCAATACATACTGGGATCCAATTGTCACATCCTCAGGTTCGCGCCACTAGCAAAATAACAAAAAAAAACATTAAGAAATTTTAAAAAAAAAATATTCAAATCGAAAATCTTTATCAAAGATATCTGATGGCTCAAAAGTAGGGATGATAACAGGGCGGGTCGGGGGCGGGTTTTACTATACCCGCACCCGCACCCGCCTCCATGTAACACACCCGCCCCCGCCCCCAAATCCAACCGGGGGTAAAAATTTACCGCCCAGACCCGCCTCCAGTAGAGAACAGGTGCACCTGCACCCGCCCCGCCCCCACCCGCAAAAAAAATTAATTTCTTTTTAATTGTAATAAAAATTAATAATTTAATTAAAAAATTGATTATTTTAATAAATAAATTATTTATTTAATTACAATTTTAATTAGTAAATGAATATTAATTTGATTAATTTAATTATTTAAATTGCAATAAAGGTATTTATAATTTAATTAAAAATATAATTAATAAATGAATATTAAAATAAGTAAAATAAGAGAATTAAACTAAAATGCATTATTTGGGGGCGGGGCGGGGGCGGGCGGGTCTTAGTGTCTCCTCGCACCCGCGCTCTAATTAAAAGTCAGGTTTTCTCCGCACCCGCACCCGTACCCACTGAAACCGGGTTTTCTCCGCTAATTTCGGGGCAGGTCCGGGCGGGCTCCGACGGGTCCGGGTTTTTTTGACATGCCTACTCAAAAGTGAACCCTATTGAAAAACTATGATGAAAGATATCTGGTATTGTTTTTCACTGAACCAGATAACTTTATAAAAGATTTCTGGTAGATTTCAAGGACTGAATAACTTTTTTTAAGAATTTAAGTGGCTTTCAAAAACTAGATAACTTACTAAATAATTTTCGGTTTGATGATTGTGGACCGGAGAACTTGGTAAATGATTTTTGGTATGTGAATTTTTCTCTCAAGCTCGAAGAACTTAAAAAGGAAAAATTAGAATAAATAACTATTTAAACAGAGGCATTTTGGTATAAAAAAATGGTATAATGTAAGGGTAGGGATAAATTTTGGGGTATGCAGCAGAATTTTCTAGAAAAATGGAGGTTGGAAAATATAATTTAGGATCCATATTCTGATGCATTAAGGTTTTGGTTTAAAATAGGA